TTCAGACTTGATTCTGAAGAGGCCAGCATCGTATAACAGTGTTAGTGCTGAGAATGACGTTAAACAACAAAAGCACATATAAACAAGAGCATGGTCATATCTACAGTATATCCATTCTGAATTATTAAAATTACCCAACGTTTCGATGTCAAAACAAGATGGCATAGGCTAGTTACACATTATATGATTTGAACATGTAGCATGAGTACGTATAGTTTATGGCGAGGATTACCGAATGTCAGCCGTACATTGCGGAAATGATGCACCTTTTTCGAAACCTTTTTCGAAACTTCAGACAAACGGTGAAATTCTGTATAGCAGGAGTGAATTTAAATTGATCACATAAACCAGTGCATGCCCTACATATTGCTGTAATGCAATACTAGCTGTTGAATCTTACTCGGTACTTACAAAACCTGCCGCTTATCCTACTGCTATAAATGATTAAAATATCTAATGAAGCGACCTCTTATTAAACAAACAGATATACACAGGTTGCGCACGGGTATATATATTGTCAATAATGCGGCCTGCTTGACGTAGTGTGTATGTTTGTCAGAACGTTTCACCCATTCCGTTTGTTGAGCGTCGAGGCAATCAATATACATGTGTAACGAGCAGAATAAACCAAAGAAAACAATAGTTTTTGCTCCATAAACTCTCGAGATGAAACAGCCTGTTGTTCTCTAGGCTGGACAAGCCATGATTTACTGGTGATTATAGGCAGTGCATAAATACTATACCAAGCGCTGCAGCAGTTGTCGGGCCACTTTCTGGAGTATGCCATGGTAATGAAGCTGTCACTGACTCATTTATCATACGTGCTTTTGTGGAGAGCGTTTTTGACTCAAACATCAAACAACTATTCGATATTCTTATGAAAAGCTTTCGTCCATGGGAGAGGAATTAGCTTACTGGAATTGTAGTGATTCTGGTTGCGCGACGACTAAATACATTGCGGTTTTACTGGACCGCGAATGACGAATGCGATCTTGTTAGGATCTTTTGACGAATTATCGTATGGCATTGAAAGAATTCTCAAAGGAATGGGCTATGTCCGTGAGATGCATGTTTCTTTACGAGCGAACATATCGTGTCATGGAGTGCACATGCCTGCATGTAGACGTTGTGTATATTCTTCTTGGTTTGATGGTTATTATTAATAGGCTGTTGTTGTATGTGTTGATGTTATTGGTTTTGTGTGTTGTTACTGATGGTTTTGGTACATAATGCATTTGTCTTTCACTCTTTGCGTTTATTGTATTTGTTTGGGTGTTTTCGCTCTCAACACGACTGTTTGAAAGTGAAAGGGGTTGTCTACAAGTTTTAAAAGTCACCTTCCTCATATGTCGAGCATTATTCAAGCGGCTCCAGGCTTTCGTGTTTCCATTTCAGTTTCTCACTCTGCATGCATTGCAAAAAGTGCCTCTTCCTCAGAAGATGTTTGACAAGGTTACAACTTTCAAGGCCTCGGTAAATTCATTACGCTAGTCATCATTGAAAACATTCATGTCAAATGTCAAGTGTCACTTTGTTGTACATAATGTTGCTTTTTAGTATCGTTTTGTTGATAATTGGTGTTTTCTGGTGTAAGTGGTATTCCGTTGACGCGTCAATGCAGTTTTAGTGATTTTATGTCATATTTTTAATAATGATCATGCTTCTATAATTGGTCTTATCGTCGATTAAAGGGTAATTCCGTCTTAATTGATAGCACAAATCGATCAGGATCGCGGCCATTAAATGTTTTCAAAGACGCAAACGAAAAGCAATATAGCGCCCCAAGCTCCTCATGTAGTACAGCTGCCATATCTGGCAAGGTCAAGACCAATATTCAGCAGTAATATGTATCACCTTGACAGGATTTTGCATTAATATCTATGACACCTCACGTTCCGATATTTGCAAGCAATGATATTGTCTAGTTATCGATCACGCCTAGGCTGACCAGTTATCTGGTTAAGCGGAATTAATTAAGCTATATAAACACAACACTCCCACATCGATTATCTTGACAGAACAATTTGATGACTACACAGAAACCTTGGACATCTTCACATTTTCTTATTGTGTTTGTGCAGTCAACTTAAACCAATTTAGGGTACAGCAACGTGATTCTGCACGTGTAATCATGCCGACAATTTCTATGTACCTCCTTCTGAATAGGAGTTTTGTCTCCTTACATTCATGCTTGTCGTATCCACGAATCAAAGACAAAAAAGACAGATATAGAATGTACGGGTGTCTGGTCAACTGCCCATTGATCTGCTCAGTCTCAGTCAACAAGCTTCTTTGGCCCCGCGGAATATCTGACACAGCGTCTCAACATATCCATTTGTTCGTGAATAAGACATGCATTAAAGCTTCTTTAAACAAATAAGCTTAACCCACTCTAGAGCGTATGCTATTTAATTTCCGTGATATCAAAACAACACTAGCAGAAATATACCCTGATGTGTAACAATCTTTTAACTGATGTTTGTGTAAGTACATATCACCTTTCGTATTATCCCACAGTGATTCCTGTTCATCTAATATCTAAATGTGCCTCTGGATTGTGTACGAAGATGAAATGCAGAGATGAGCTGGTGATAAATGATTGTGATAATTACTCCTTGGAGTGAGGCTACAGATGTATGGAACTATTATATCCGTAGAGTAGACACATACAGCTGACTTACTCACAGCCAGCTCCCACCAGTATATAGTTTGTGCAGAGGGGTGGTAGTTTATGAATTAAAGTTTGGCTATAGCATCTGTAGAGGACTGTTTTTGTCTGACGAATAGACTGGCTATTGGTGATGAAGTGAGTCGGATGTTTGTGATGAATAGATTGGATATTAGTGTGAATTGAACTGTGCGTCTGTGACAAACGATTGGCTGTTCGTTGTGTAGGTACCTGAACGTCTGGATTGACCCTTGGGATTGGTTATATTAGACACAGATAGCGTTAACTAATAGTAGATAATGCACAGTTAGTGTTAATGTAGAGTTCATGTTTGGTTTTGCATAGATTCGTTTGTGTGTTCCTGAAAGCTCGACTTTTCATTGACGAAGAGGACATACCTATTCCAATCGCCTTGTGAATCCTCACTTGGGACTAATGCAGTGCCAAAGGATTCGTTTTGAAGACCTGGCGTTGTAACTCAGTGTTGTACCACGTGGAAAGCAGACCGGAAACCATCATCGTTAGCACAATAACACAAGTCCTTGCATGAGCTTACTGCACTTTCGTCCATACCCGTATTTAAACGTTGACCAGTGGGCTGACTATTGTGTATAACAACATGTACCCACGCCACTGATTGGATTATAGAACTATTTTAAGGAAGTAAAGGAAAAGAGCACTTCGTACTGTTTACTTTGATTGTTGATATTAATGTCTGAAGTAGAAGTAGAAAAATTTCATGTAAGAGACACTATATCAGATTAAATTACATATATATCAGATTGTAATCATATATATATCATTGTTGCAAGGACTTTGAGAGAACCAGTTATGTTCGCAGTGGAATTCCCACGAGGTTCAGTCCTGGTCCCGATCTTGTTTATCCTAAATGCTAATATTATTGCTGATTTTTAAAATTTAGTTTTAGTACAACCTTTCTTGGAATCGTAGGAACAACGCACACAATGTTGGTTTTAGTAAATCGGTTATGTGAATGGAAGGGATGCATTTTTTTCCGTATGACAAAAAATTAAGACACTCTTGTCATTCCAAATTCCATCTGATTCAGTCAATCCGAAGGATGAAGGTCCGAAGTGATGAAGGTCTCAGACGTTACCCACTTAGGGAAATCCCCACCACAGCAAACAAATATTGATTAATTTACTCTGTTTCAGTACAGTGTAGGTTGTATGTCTCTTCCAACTCCACCGAAATATTCTACAGGATCGTACACAGAAAAACATGCAAAGCCCTTCGTAACAATATTCTGGAAATGTCTTTCATACCGGTTCTCGTAACAGCTACCTTTTTTTAGTTTCACGAAGTGAACACAGATTTAAGACCCATTTCCACAAAAAAGTACATCGAAGTTCTCAACTAAGAATTACAATATTCATGTATAAAGAAACCCTCTTTACAAATGTACAAGTGTGAAGTTCGCATATACACAGCTCCCATTAGTAGAGATAATGTCCGTCCCCAGCGGGCACATCAACGTTGTTTCAACGTTGAGAATAGGTGTTCCTCAACGTCGAAATTAGGTTGAAAATAGGTTGTATATGAAAGTTTTTAAACGTAGATATCCGACGTGGAATCAACATTGAAGTTTGACATATTATTAACGTTGAAAATGGGTTGTTCCGTGGTTGTGTATGGGAGTTTTCTTATATAGAAATCTAACGTAAACACGTGAAGATTCAACCCAGGTTACAATATGTGTATTCCGTTATTGCTGTAAATAACCTCGCATTTCAACTTTAAACTACAGTAAGGTAGCACTAAACTCCTGCATCTAATTAAAATATCCCAACAAGCTACCTGCAATAAACAGTGAAACAGACACATACAGTAAAATTATTTACCTCATAAAATGCGTGGTCAAAATTTCACATGCACTATAGTGTTCATTTAAGTTTTATGTCAGTTGGATATAATTCCAGTAAGAAGGAAAGAGTATTCCAAATTAAGAAAACCTATTTACTGTTGTATTGTTATCTTGAAAAGGTGGAAATTGCCCCGAGAAGACATTTTTGATGAATTTCAGCTATTAGATAGACCCCCTGAATAAACACAATGCAATTACTTTCACCATTAAAGGAATCCAAGATGACCATGAACTATACCTGAAGACAGAACATAAAATAAGTCACTTTTCATGAAATCTTCATACATGACATTCTGTAGGTGATCTCTGTTGGTGATAATAACACAATATCATCTGCATTTATCATTAAACGTACATTCACGCCACCAATTTCAATGCCACAGTTCAGATCTTTAAACACAATTATAACTCCAAAACACACAACTATTAGCTCCTCTTTTTTGGCACTCCCACCCTGAGGGTCAGGTGCATACTTCAGAAAGGTTCCTAACTCTTTCTTGAAATTTGCTTCGGTTGCATTCCCATCCTGAGATAGGACACATTCTGAAATATTTATATATAAATACATATAAATTTTATATGGAAGATATGTTGTCTTAAATGATTCAAGTATTTGTTAAATCAATCACAAGAAAGGTTCACTTCACTGCTGTAACTCGGTATGTGAACATACATCATCCATACAATAAATGAAGAAAAGTACTTTTATAATGCAAACAATATATATTTTCAACTAAATGAATGGAAGTCTTCTTAAACATTTTCAAAGAAAATCCTCAATTGCAAACTGATTATTCAATTAGACTATGAATTAGAATGAATTAGACGATGTTTTACTGTCATATATTATTTGCTATGGTCATGATGAAAATGCTGACAAAGAGCATTTGGTAATTAACTTACCAGAGATGATTGAATACAACCTTGTATTTTTAAAAGAAAACTTGCCGTTTCGCCCATCAACATTCATTCTTGACATCAAATTGTTTGACTTTGTCCTGCAAAACAATGGAAGTTTGTTGTTATTCTGTCAGATTTAGTTTTCTTTAGAGATTCCGTATTTAAAATTAGATAGGTGTTGTACTGATGTAGCAATTTTGCTAACAGGAGTCATAAATTGTAACAAAAGCCATTTATTACATTAAAGGATGAGAAAACAAAGTGGGTGGTAATAAAAGTACATTATCATCTTTCTCCTAATCTTTGTGATGGAGATACTGGTGAACAAGTGAAATGTTAAAAACTTGTTACCTAAGCATTGCTCTTTTCATGTGATCCACAAAAATAATGCCAGCCAATCTTCGAAAATGAGATTTCTGCAAATTCAATTAAAGATAAATCTTATGTTTCATAATTAAATGTTCCTTTATAAATTACTTCTTTTATATGTAACATTTTAACCATTAAGGATGTAAATCATCACAGTTTTGTTAACTGTCCCATCAAAGAATCATTAGTGAAGTTACATATTTTGTAAATAAATAAAAGTTTTATAAAATTATATACAATTTCACCCTTCACAAAGACATGCACAAGACCTTTTGTTGTAAATTTTCGTTGCATGATCTGAGAAAGATTTCCTTTCGCCATTCTCCATCTCCATCCCCACCCCACGCACCCCAAGTCAAAACATTGATTGCACAACAGTTTCGTTTCCTGCTGACTGGGTTCCGTCCTATTGCGCAACTTCGTACAATAACCAGTCCAGAATTTTGAGATCAATTCATTCAACTGGATGCATAAATATTAATCAGTATTATTTGATACATCTAATCACTTTTATATTGCAACACTACGCTCCTTCTAATCCTTACAAATACGTCGTGCAGCGTGCTCTGTCGTACAGCGTGCTCTGACAAACGGAAATCTGGAAATCGTGGAAATCTCAAAACGAGGCTCTGCCGCTAGAAAAGTTTGGCGGTCTGCTTGGGACTTGATATTATACAATCACATTGTGCGTTACAAAACTACACTGAATAAGCGCAAAGAACACATAAAGATGTAACCAGCGAGCCTATGAATTATGAATCATTTATGACCTTATCAAACAGGGGCAGTCTGAGACGTCTTTGTTAACAACATGCTGCCTACACCTCGCCATAAAATATGGAAATACGATGTTATTAAAGTTTAAAATTAAAATTACCTTATAAATACCATTTTCTTATGAAACAAGGTATTGGCATTCAGTGTAACCATAGTTGTTTGTGGCGTCTCTTTTCACTTTCACACGAGAAAATTCGGATCGGCTGAAAAGTAAGTCATTGTCTGAATAGGCTAATGAGACTCATGTTTCGGTTTGCAAACCCACAATTAATATACATACACTGACAGAGTTCAGAGCGTGCACTTCTCATTGCACAATTTACTGCTAGATCTATTCAAACCTACAGATTTTCATAATAATGTGATATAATATATAAAATGAATAGATTCTATTTGATTTCGTATAGCTTTATATAATAAAATGCCAAATATATGCAAATATTTTGAAAAATAACAAAACAAGTTCATGGAAAACATGGGCTTCCACGAAATTGAGGAACACCTACATGACATACCGGTAACCTTGTGAGATAAACATGAGCCCTAATTCGGAGTTTCCTGCTACATTAACATGCTAGATTTAAACAACATTCTTACGGGTTCATTATACATGAATGAAATACTTACCAAATAAACACCAGCATGACGAGAAGCTATTGAAAATAAAACGATGTTGCGGTGAACTTCGCCAAAGTGAAACGACGAACTGACAACGATCTACTGCCTTTGCGCGCGCGATAAATGTGCGCATGTCCGGATATGATCAAACGAGGCGATCGACAGGTCAACATCTGGCATGTGTTTGACAGCAAATTGTCGGGAATTATAAGATTTTGACAGTTTTGTTGGAAAATATGATATTTAATGCAATTCAGCTAACTGATGACTTTATACCTAAAGTCATTGATTTTTTTCATTTTCAATTACGACTAACGTAACATTTCCGTCCGTTGATCGATGCACAATCATACAATATATTAGATTATATCTGGGCCTAGGTCGATCTGGATCATTTATTAAATTAATGTTCAGAAATGATAGCTGCTAAGTTGGATACCTATTACCAATGCATGTATATGTAACAAATGTACCCAGGATACAATTAGTCGACATTTCGTTGGTTCCTTACGTTGAAACAACGTTGACAACTAAACGAATCTCGACTAATTTTCTTTGGTCGCATGATAAATGTTGAAACAACGTTTATGAAAGGTTGATCAACCAAGCAACCAAAAGTCAACGTTGATTAAACGTTGACTCAACGTTGTGTACCCGCTGGGTCATGACCTTATCCCGATGTCATTCAGTGCATCAGCTTTGCCGCAATGATGGTGGGAGTAAGTCTACTTGACTGATATGACGTTGGCTTCAGTCAATCACACATTATGGCTGATTCTGGCGTGAGACTCCGCACCTATTTCTACACATCATCACGTGAAAAAGTACATGGACGTTCCCTATAAAGAACACACGTATACATGAATAGAGAAACCCTCTTTACAAACGTACAAGCGTGAAATTCGCAAATACACAACGCCCATTACCAGAGATAAAATACCGCCGTGGTCTCCGATATCACGTTCCCCCGATGTCACTCGGTGCATCAGTTTTGCAGCAATGGTGGGAGTAAGTCTACTTGTCTGATGTGGCGTTGGTTGAAGTCAATCACACATTATGGCTGATTCTCGCTTGAGACTACGCACCAATTGATTTGTTTTCTTCCGGTATACGCAATACATTTCGCCGAGCAGTGACGGAGAATCGGAATGGAACGAGTCCCTCGGGGTCATATTCATAGACTGGTCTCTTAACGGCATTTACACTCGGTATCATGTAAGTCAGTCTGGTGACTGTTACCCCGGTACATATGCTCACGAGCATGGATATGGTGCTGTCTAAACAAGAATCGTTATCTGGGCGAATCTGCAACGATCGTAGGCCACAGGCATGCCAAAGGAACTCCACGATTGACATCGAATTTCGGGGCCATAGACAAGTGGGGCCTGGTTATTATGCTGTGCTCCAGTGAATTTACGCGTGAATTTACCACACCATGGGTATGGTGCTGTCTGAATAAGAATCATTATCTTGACGAATCTGGGCATGCCAAAGGAACTCCACGATCGACATCGAATATTTGCGCCATAGACAAGTGGGTCACCTGTGATCCTGGCTATTATGCTGTGCTACAGTGAATTTAGGCGCCGTTTGGTAATATTCCAATGTCATGGTTTCGTTTACTGTACTATCTAATGATGATGTCGTCATTATGACCCTCTCCTGTTTTCTTTGTGCAGGCTGTATTTTAAAAAGGAAGAGAGGATTATATTCCTCCTTTGGGACAACGCCCCTTATTCCCCTAATTCACGAGAGACTTGAATAGCAAGGTTTTTAACACAACGATACTTGAGAAATGGTGTGAGGAGTGTGATGGGTGGATAGGTGCAATGGTTTGAAGGTGTACAAGTGTAATGGGTGTGATCTGCTATGGAATGGTTGTGTAATGGGTAAATTGTATAGTAGGGGATGACGTGACGTTGTGCTGGTATTATCGTGTTACGGTATTACATGACTGGTGTGATGGCATGATAGTGTGATAACGCGAAGGGTATGACTGTTATGGTTTGTGCCATGGTCTGATGGACCCGTAAATGTGATTGTATGATGGCGGCTGCCGTATAATGATGAGAAGGGTATTATTACTCATATTCGGGGTATGACGGTGATGGTATGACGTTTATGGGTGGTCGCCAACCTATGCTATTGTAGGTTAGATGCTTCCCTTGTACATGTACACGGTGTTAAGGTCGTCAAAGTCATCTATTATTTGAGTAATGTCATTGTGAGTTTAAACCCCTAATTGTTCGATCAAAGTCAAGGCACGGTAGAATATGTACTCAAAATAATAGCGGAGCCCAACAAGCATGCAAGCATGCACATTAGAGCCAAGATTGCATCATCTCACTCTTAAGAGGCAAACGTGGTGCTGTGACTAGCTGTTATGACTGACATCATCCACTTTACATAATTACCTCCGAGAAGTGACAGTAATGCGGTGCAATTATCATGTAATGGTGAGCAAAGAGATATCATTGAACTAAATTTGTTCCTATCTTGAATTAAAAGCCTCTTATCGTGCCATTTTGCTTGGGATAAGGAAACATTCATTATCAAAACCAACCAACATTACTACTGCATGATACTGTACAACCTGCTTTAAACACCTAGAAACTGCAGACACTAACACTTGCATTACCCCCCCATGGTAATACGCGCAGCTTATGAATGAGCGCTGACCTCCAAATCAGAAATCGAACTGTATATTCAAGGTAGATCGATCGAAGATACATAAAATAGCTTTGTCAGGAATGTTTGAGCTCCGGATTGTGCAGGAGATTTACGTTATTGGAACATGAGAGAGATTTAATTGACACTGGGTGATACAACAAACAGTTTGTGTAATAAGAACAAATGATAAAGAGAATCTGCATTCTGTT